TAGAGCGCTGGCATTGAAGGCAGTCGCGAGCCCAGGTACGAACATCTTTGTTTACGCGTGGCCAAACGAAACGTTCGGTGACCAGTTTCAAAGATGCACGGATACCGGGATGTGACAGTGAGTGCAGTGCGTCGAAGACTGTGCGTCTGAAGGAGACGGGCACGAGAGGTCTAGGACAACCTGTGGAAGTGTCACAAAGAATGGTTCCTTCCGTGGTTTGGAGAGGAACAGGTTGCACATGCAGCGAAGTGGACTGCAGAGTGGGCTGTATGTCTTCGTCTTGAGCCTGAACGGATGCCACTGCGGCAAGGTCGACGGTAGGCAAAGACTGGAGAGTGAGGTTGACGCGTGAGAGAGCGTCGGCGACGGGATTGTCGACACCTGAGACATGACGTATGTCAGCAGTGAACTGCGTGACAAAGTCTAGGTGTCTTGTTTCCCGTGGTGAGTATTTGTCGCTAGCAGAGTTGAAGGCAAAGATAAGGGGCTTGTGGTCAGTGTAGACCGTGAAAGCGCGGCCTTCAAGTGTGTGCCGGAAGTGACGTATCGCTAGGTAAATGGCCAGCAGTTCTCTGCCAAACGTGCTGTAGCGGGATTCCGCTGGCTGCAGATGCTTGGAGAAGAAACCAAGGGGTTGCCAGTCTCCACCAACGTGTTGGTGGAGGACGGCTCCTACCGCGACGTCTGAGGCATCGGTCGTAATAGAAAGAGGTGCAGTCGATTCGGAATGAGCGAGGAGGGCTATGTTGGAGATAGCATCCTTGAGCTCGGCGAAGGCTGCCTGTGCTGTTTCAGGGAAAGCGAACTTACGTTCATTTCCTCTGAGTAAGTCAGTCAGTGGCTGCATGAGCTGAGCGCAGCGCGGAATGAAGCGTCGATAGTAGTTGACCAAACCACAAAATCGACGGAGGTGCTTGAAGGAAGTCGGAGCTGGGAAGTCCTTGATTGCCTGGATCTTATCAGGAAGGACTTCGATACCAGACGATGAAACGACGTGGCCTAGGAATTCTACCGTTGATTTGCCGAGTTCGCACTTAGTCGGGTTGACTGTGACACCGTGTTGGGTCAAGCGCTGGAAGAGAGCTCGAAGATGCTCGAGGTGCTCTTGTTCCGATGAACTGGCTACTAAGATATCATCGAGGTAGGAATATGCGAAGTCAAGGCCACGAGTGACATCGTGGATGAAGCGTTGGAAGGTTTGTGCGGCGTTGCACAGTCCAAATGGCATTCTTAAAAATTCAAACAAGCCGAAAGGAGTAATGACGGCTGTTTTAGGAATGTCATTGTCTTCCACAGGTATCTGGTGATAGGCGCGAACCAGATCGATCTTGCTGAAGATCGTCTTACCTGTGAGGCATGCGGTAAGGTCCTGCATGTGTGGATGGGATACCTATCTGGGACGGTTAGGCGATTGAGTGCGCGGTAATCACCGCAAGGGCGCCAGTCACCAGATTTCTTAGGGACCATCTGCAGGGGCGAGGACCAAGGGCTGTCGGAAGGGCGGATTATTCCAAGTTCAAGCATGTGCTCAAACTCCGCCCTAGCTACGTTTAGTTTCTCAGGCGATAGTCGGTGTGGATGGCATGACACAGGTGGGCCATTCGTCCGTATGTGGTGCGTGACTTGAGCTGCCACGGGCAAAGCTGCGTTCATTGGCTGAACGAGTTTGGGATACTGAGAAAGGAGATTAGCGTAGGCTGACGAGGTCTGGGGAAATGCATAGACCGGGGATATAGATGTCACATCGGCGGTGATGCCACGTACGCTGAGTTTTGTTGCAGTGTCGACTATCATCTGGCGTTTCGCATCGACCAAGAGGTCGAAATGCCTGAGAAAGTCAATGCCGATGATGGCAAAGGGGACTGCAGCGACGGTGAATACCCAGCGGAACGTGCGCCGAAGACCTAGGTCCAGGGTAAGTGACCGATGACCATAGGTGGCTATTGGTGTGCCATTGGCGGCACTGAGGCTTGTCGACAGAGAAGCGGTAGGCTCACCTGGCATAGGGGGAATGACGCTGACTTCCGCCCCGGTATCAACTAAGAACTGGGTATCGGAGTCATAATCCCTAATGTAGATGAGACGACTTTGGGCTTTGACGACGTTCGTGGCCATTACAGCCCGGCGTGGCGGATCATCTATAGCGGAGTAGCTACACGGCTGTACGCACTTACGGGCTTTAGTACCGAAACGCGAGTGGTAAAAGCAGTAACCTGAGGCATCAGGTTTTGTGCGACGGTGCGATGATCCAGAGCGGTTGCGGTGCTTACGTTTTAAGGTGAGTTCTTTGAGCTGGCGCTGAAGCGACGCTATCTGCAATGATAATGCGTCTATTGCCGACGGAGGGCTAGTCGCGCCTGTCGTTTTGGTTGCGCCAGCGCAAAGCTGCTTGGGTGCTTTGGTTTCAGTCTCTGCTTGGTGCCGTTCGATGACGCGGTCTGCTAGATCTGCAATTGCTGTGATGGGCAAGTCACTTGCTACTGCAAGGATAGCCTGAGTGCTTTCAGGAAGGCGTTGCATCCACAGCTCGCGGAGAATCCCTACGTCCATGTTGGACGTGCCGATGAGCTGTTGCATTTCGCGCAACAAGGCTGAGGGCATCCTACCTCCTAGCTGCAGATCACTAAATAGTTGCTGCAGACGGACCTTGTCAGAAGGCGTGATTCGCTGAATAATAGCCTGTTTAAGTGTCTCGTATTTCATTACTAGAGGGGGGCAAAGTATGATGTCTCTCACCTGCGAGGATATACTATAAGGAAGGCAAGATATTAACTGATTATACATGGCGAAATCAGAAGAAAGCTTACGAATATAAAAGGCGGATTCTAAATGCAAAAACCATAATAAAGGATCATTCTCCCAAAAAGGAGGGGCCAATGCAACCGAATTGACCATGGCAGGCTGAACAGCGTTAACCGCGCATGGAGACGGCTTATCCTCTAGATAATTCATTGCAAAAAGCAGATAAAATATATGGTAGGTGAGAAAACAATATGATCACAAGTAATGAATCACAAGATCACTGGAACGAGCTCACCAGAGTGAAAATGCAAAATGGCGGGCGGCGTGTTCCTGATAGGGGGTCACCAATTGTTGGGCGGAACCTGGGATACTAGTCGGTAAGCAATGACACGTAAGACGTGTCAAATACGACAGTATAGAAGTCGGAGGAGACTGAACCCAACGTGTATTGTGCAGGCTACAAGAATAGGAAGCGAATCAGACAGAGCGAGAAACGTGCAGCGAGGAACTCACCAAAACGGTTTGTGACAACGGATGTGCAGTCAGTTAAACAAATGGACGTTTCGAAGGTTAAAACAACCATAAAATCCAATGTTACAAGACTGAAAGAGCATGTTTTCTGTTGCACTACAGCTTCAAAGGATTGCAGGCCTAGTATCCGTGGCATAGTTCAGGAGATATTATTAGTCCTAATGGATCCTGCAAAACGCAGTAAGAAGATGGCTAGCAAGCGCTTGTAATTCACTTCGGACTGCCCATGGACAAACGCGTCCGGCAGTCTATTCCAGTCATTAATTACTGAAGTGTAGAGAAAGCAAGGTCTGAGCGGACTTTGTACCACTATGGTTTAGACAACTTAAAGCTGTGAAATACAGTCAATTGCTTAGTCTGCGCTAAAAATCTACCTCAGCTCCTTTTTCAAGTTATCCTTCTAGGTTAAGCCAAGTATATATAAGGGTACCCCGACGTCGGCAATAGTTAAAGAGAAAAAGGTTCATTCTCTGTAGTCGGGTGGCTTACGGAAGTTCGCCTAGCCCAAGGACAACTTGCGTGCCTCTTGGCTTAATTTTTTCTATCTTGCCACTTTCATGCTTAGAGAGGGGCTATGGAAGGAAGACCGGTTCCGCATACAGGACACTTTATTCATCATCAACCAATGCCCATTAAATCCATTACTTAGGGATATTTTTCAAGTATTTATAACAACGGCTCGTTTTTTAAATGCTCTAAGAAATACTATTAAATAAATAAATATTTTATTCTCGACAAAGCGAGACACGCCTTTTGGGCCTGATAAGCATATTGCATTATTGTACATGATAGCGGAATAAGCAGCACCAACAGTGGGAGTAGTACAGTTGGAGACAGTAGTGTGAGCCTATAGGGTCCAAAGGTTGTATGTAGTCTATGTACACAGAATGCGAGAAATAGAGATAGTAATCAGATCACTTATATGGTATGTTGATGAGGAACTAGTCCGAGGAGGTCCCGTACACAGTGTGGGTCAGGTGAGTGAAGTATGAGGAAACGGGTGAAAAATACTTAAGAATAGTGGCATGTCACTAATCAGATCTGTAGGCGTGTTCGTGCGAGAGCCGATATATACACAGAACTTGTAAATGTAGTGTCGGTCAACTTGCCAATGTGTAAGGGGCGGTGACTTTATTGAGTGGCGAGTCTGTAGTGACCATGACATTTTACCCCATCAAACATCACACTCAGACTTGTGCACATTTTGTTTTACTTTGCACCCATCCCAAGCCTATATATACTGGACTGCAATTTTGAACCGGGTTGGCCATCTTGTCCGCGCGTTGCCGGCTGTTGCGTTCCTACGTGGTGTTACTCATTGCTTCACCACTCTCTCCCATTGTCCTCAAGCTATATTCACATAGCTATTGTACATAGCTATTTTCTCAAGCCATTCTTTATATCCCGCCGTCTTCTGTCTCACCGGGCTACGGTTTTCTTGTGTAGCATTCGTCAAGCCGCTACATAATTGGTGACCCCGTTCGCATTCCGGTGAGTTCGTGCCATTTTTTTGGTTTTTTCCACGCAAATCATGGCCTCAGTTTCTAAAAAGTGTGAGGACTCACAGTCGGTGCAAGCGGTATCTCTGGTAGTTCCACCATTTATTGAAAAAGATCCCGTTTTATGGTTCATGATTTTAGAAGCTGAGTTTACTTCTAAGCATGTCACTAGCGATTCTGCAAAGTTTAACCACTTGCTCACACGCCTGCCAACTGATATTACTATAGCGCTACGCGATCTTATTATTACATGTCGTTCTCCCGACCGTTATACTTTGCTCAAGAACGCTGTAATAAAGCGTGTTACTCCCTCAGAGAAGTCACGCTTGCATAAAATTTTTACTGGTCTACAGCTAGGTTCTAGTAAGCCATCCGCGCTATTGCTGGAGATGCGTGGTCTTCTTCAAGGACTGCATATGGACGAGTCGCTGCTTCGAGAGTTATGGCTTCAGCGTTTGCCTGAAAACGTACAAGCTATGCTATCGCTTGCGAAATCGCAGCCTTTGTCAGAAGTTGCAGATATTGCTGATGATATGATGGATCGCTTCACCGGACCACCGTGTCCGTCGTCTAGTTCTCTTCGCTCACCTGACGTAGATTTCACTGTTGACCCTTCGGTCCAGACCATCGACACCACCACTCCACCTTCCACTGGTGAGCTCTTAACAAAGATAGCCGCGCTACGGCAAGAAGTTCAAAGCTTAAAGTTACATCGGCACCAACGGGATTCTCCATCCCGTTCCCCTAGCCCATCTGGAAGACGAACACGACGCCCAATTTGCCGTTATCACGCACGTTTTGGAAGTTCCGCTAGAAATTGTATAAAACCATGCTCATTTCCCGTAACGAGAAAAAGGACAGGCCGACACGTATTGGCGACGAACGCCGTCGGCCGAAGTCGTCCAAGTCGCCTCTTCAATATCGTTGATAGGAACACCGGGATCATGTTCCTGGTTGATACCGCGGCGGAAGTTAGCGTGATCCCACCGGTTCCAGGCGACACGACTAAGCCACAGACAACTAACTTGAGTGCCGCTAACGGCACTGCTATTCGAGTCTTCGGTCAACGCTCTCTTACCATTGACCTCGGACTACGACGTCCCTTTCGATGGATTTTCACCATCGCTGCCGTTCCATTTGCTATATTGGGTATTGACTTCCTCCAACACTTCGATCTTCTCGTCGATGCGCGTCATCGCAAACTCGTTGACCAAAAGACCCAGCTTTTCACATGTGGAGTTAGCACACCTTGTGTTTCTGTCACTCCCATTTACATCCAGCCTGAAGCTGATAAGGAATTTTTAGATCTGTTCAGACAGTTTCCGCAGCTCGTCCGCTCAGCTGACGCTACTCTTCCGGTCGCATCTAGCGTTACGCACCATATACGAACCCGTGGCCCACCGGTTTCTGCACGGCCACGACCTCTCGCCCCTGATAAGCTAAAAGCCGCTAAGGCGGAATTCGAGCACATGCTCGAACTTGGTATCATCCGTCATTTTCGTCCTTTTCTAGAGGGCAGAAGTTTTACCGTCTTTACTGACCACAAACCTTTAGTTTATGCCCTCGACTCGTCATCGACCTTAACGCAATCTACAGGGCCACCTGTAACGACGCCCAGCTTTTCAGCTCCACCACAATCCCAGTCACCAGATTCGCCTCAAACTAATACTAGTCACGGTAGAAGAGTTCGTAAACCTGTTCGTTTCTCCGATTTTGTCGAATTCATCCACACCTCATGAATCTTTTTCATTTTCTCTCATCGTTTGTATTATGCTTTTCCGTAAATATCTGAATCTGTCTCCCCGAGTTTCCCCCCCCCCCCATCTATCAGGTAAAGTCATGAGGCTGGCACGTTTGGGTCCGTCCGTTCAATGCTTGGCTGTTTCTCAATGGTTTGGTCGTTTGGATGCTTTGGTCTACCCCCAACGCTTTGTCGTCTCGCCGCCCACCTTGGCCTTTGGATCGTGGTCTGCTTGACTCAATTTGGCTCGCCTTGGTCGTTTGTCTGGCTCGCCTTCCTGGCTTTGGCTGCTCGTGTGCCTGGCTCGTTGTTTTGGCCCCCCACGGCTCGCCAGTACGAACAGGATTTCAGCTTCGTTGTGGCAGTGGATTGGAATGCGGTGGGGGGAGTGACTCTCCCAAGCGCACCGTCTTTCAGCAGCGGTGAAAGGTCCTACCGGCCCTTTTTCTGGATTATCCAGTTTTTTTGTAGTCCGGTGTGCCCGCTGGGACGGCCCACCGATGATGCATTCCAATCCATAAGAAGATTAAATAATCCAAATACAACCGAACTCCTGTGATTCTGCCTTTATACATTGGCAAGCCAACAGCGATCGAAGTCCTCGTCCCTCGGCCTTCTAGGGGGAGGCCTGTGTAGTGATCATGACATTTTACCCCATCAAACATCACACTCAGACTTGTGCACATTTTGTTTTACTTTGCACCCATCCCAAGCCTATATATACTGGACTGCAATTTTGAACCGGGTTGGCCATCTTGTCCGCGCGTTGCCGGCTGTTGCGTTCCTACGTGGTGTTACTCATTGCTTCACCACTCTCTCCCATTGTCCTCAAGCTATATTCACATAGCTATTGTACATAGCTATTTTCTCAAGCCATTCTTTATATCCCGCCGTCTTCTGTCTCACCGGGCTACGGTTTTCTTGTGTAGCATTCGTCAAGCCGCTACAAGTCACATCCGTCACGTCGCAGTGTCGTTAAACAGACATTTGTGGCTTTTTGTAGGGAAAACGCTTGCCAGACGAAGACCCACCACGTCCAGGAACACTGCCGGCTGGTGATATAACATTGGCAAGATTGTATCTGACCGCTTATCACGCGGATATTCTCAGTCACGTAACGCCAATTTGTTTCCCATTGCTGTGTAGTCGCCTTCGGAGTCCAGTGCAAGTGGTTGGAGCTGTTGAAGTCGGACGACTCAGATGAATTGCATTGCATTGATCAGTTTTCTAGATTCTTTATTGTGTCATAATTATGAAGTGCGGGTTTTTCTGTGGTCTTTATTGAATCCGTGCCCATGGGAGCGTCGCAGGTATGTCCTCAGCGGTGTTCCGTGCGGGTGATGTTATCCTGTAGAACAAGGGTGAGAAGAAAAACGGACAGAGCAAACTGCCAACAAAATTGAACGGGACTAAGTTTTTGCATAAATATAAAATTTATGGTAAAGTAGTTCACGCTGAAAGGAATGGAGTGACCGTATATGTTGTACATCATACCCCTATCCGTAGTTTCTCGTTGTAGCACGAGACCTAATATTTGCTGAACGTGAGAGGAAGATGCTGGCCGAAGTGGTCTAGCGTACGCCAAAGTTGTCCTGTTTGGGAACCGTGCGTATCAGGCGTTGTTAACCGGTACATGAGATGAGGGAATCAGAAGAACATAGTGAGTGGTTTAAAAAGCGCTTAAGATATCAGTTGAGCGATCTGTTGACAGTGCTAGAGCTTATCGTTGGAATATGTACGAGAACCAGAGAAGTTATTACGCCGGGATTGAAGCCAGGAAACTAATAACGCAACATGTTCAGCAATCATATGCTAGACAGCTGGGTGAAAGGGTGAGACTGAGTGTCAAATCTGTGACGAGAATGGGATTTATACTCTACAACTGTAGCGACAGTGGGGTTGCAAAGCTAGCCCTAAAGAGACTTCGAATAGCGGAAAAAGATAGGGACTTCTACAGCGCAGCAAACAGGTCAAATATACGACAGGAAAGGGTGATACTGGGAGTCGGGTTAGTTATGTGGAAGAAACTGCCTGAAGACAGGTCTTTACCTTTACTAATATCAGACAGAAAGGCTTGAATACTACGGGTTTAGTTAGAAAATGGTTGTAGGGCCAGCGCTGAAGGAAAACTAGAAGATCCGTATTGTGAGCAGCAGCCGCAAAAGATGCTACGTGTGCTACTCTGATGTGGACATCCACGGTGGAACTTTGAATTCAAATAGAATGCTAGTTAGGACTCACTAATTTGTGAGTTGCTGGCAACCTGATTAGTTAGGATACAGGAGCGGCACGCTTTATTAGGCTCAGTACAGTCTGATAGGTGTACAGTGTGGAATACAAGAGAGAAAACAGACAGCAATATTTGCGACAGCTGCAGAGAGAAAACGACAGTGGTGGCTCCGGAATTGACCAAGGGTAAGGAAAGAATACGGACAGCACCGCCAATTGCCAAGTTTTCATTCCAAGATATGCGATGAAGAGAGGAGGTGCAGAAAAGGTATACAATGGAGTATGGTTAAACATAGAAGTGGATGAGACCCAATGAAGTTCAAGTGCTCAGCATCTGGTGCTGGTGGAATAAGAAAGCCATCAGTCAAATAGACGGGAATATGAGAATTAAAAATGCATGGCAGCCGATGAGCTGAGGCTAGTGGTCCCTATACCACCATTGCATAGTTGCGATATTCAATAGTTCAACAGTGTATGACGGGATAAAAAGCATTGGCTTTACAAGACCCATAGGATGGTAAATGCAAAATAGATAACAATCATTAGCTTCCGACATGGAACTGTAATGTCAATAGTCTAAACCTAGTACATCACACCACAATGTGTTGTTTGTCACTCAGATGAATGTCTAACAATTGTTTGAAGGCTGTAATGTTCGGAGCGTTTACCACATGCGTTGGCAAGTCATTCCATTGTGAACAGATTCTAAGAGAGTAAAAATATTTTCTACTGTCTAATCGGGTGTTGGATTATCAGTTTGAGGTTATGACCTGTCGATCGCTTATATGAGGATAGGGTGAGCAGCGATTTGCACGGGTGATCGCTTTCCGTTAATGTCCGGTATGCGAGAATGAGATCTCCGCGTAGTCGTCGGTATTCGAAGGAAAACCTTACGATTAAACTGAGACGCACTTCATAATTGAGACCAGATAATCTGCGTGTTGCCTTGGTAGCTCTTCGTTGGGGCTGCTGTAAGAGGTGAATGTCCCGATTTAACCATGGGCACCAAGCCTGGACGGCATATTCGACGTGGGGACGGATATAGAAGTTGACAAGCATGGGTACCAACCGTCGTTCAAAAACACCAAAAGCTCGCCTCAAAAGTCTCAGGTTCATGTTCGCCACGTTCGCTGCTTTGGAACATTGGAGCAAATTCTCCAGACTTTCTTGCACAATAATACCTAAGTCTTTTACTGTGCTCACGCGCCGTAAAACGTACTTCCCCAAGAGGTACGATTTGGCAAGGTTGCTGCGCAATGACAGTAGGTGACACTTGGCAGGATTCAGGGGGAGGTGATTTATATCTTCCCATTTATTGATTCTATCCAAATCATGCTGGAGGAGAACACAGTCTGATGTTGAGCGAATAACTCTCTAGATTTTTTGCGTCATCTGCAAAAATTTGCATCGAGGATTGAATATTATCCTGGAGGTCGTTAATGTAGACCAGAAGAAGGATGGTTCCAAGGACGTATCCTTGAGGAACACTGCTGGAGATGCAGAGGGTTTCCGAGAGGGCATCGGTGACTCTGACCTTGATCATTGGATCATTGGATGATAGAGAGCAGAAGGAAAATCCTTTGTCAGCTCCTTCACTTCCCGATCATTGCGGAGATGGCGTGGTTCATTGCGGTAGAAGTTTCCGCAGAGGACCACTGTAGCTGCCTTAGAGGCAGCAGAATCCCAGCGCACTCAGGTGAGAATCTAACAGTTGTTTGAAACGTTCCTCTGTCTCAGCCTCAGCAACAGGATCCGGCAACCGGTTCCAATCATTCACCACGCGAGTTGATAAGGCCAAATTGAGCCGCACACGGAGATTCCTTGGTTTGAACAGTTTCATGCAGTGGCCTCGTGTCGAACTCTCAGTGTTGAGTTGAAAGAAGTCCTGTAACTCGCAACCCAGTTCTCCTCTGAGAATACGTCGAGTGAAAATCAAATCTCCTCGGTGACGGCGGTAGCCTAGAGAGAACAAGTTCAGTCGTTGAAGTCGGTGTGGCTACGACAGGTCTCGCAACTCAGGGACGGATTTGGATCCACGCCGTTGAACCTTCTCTATCATACCACATTCGGATTTGGTGAGAGGGTAGGCAGCGGGTAGTCCGTATTCGAGAATCGGGCGTACATGCGAGCCAAAGAGGAGTCGGAAAAGTCCCGGGGTCAGGAGAGAAAACCCTCTACGTATAGAATGGAACATCCTGTAGGCCGCGGCGACCCTCTTCTGGGTGTCTTGGATAGATTTGAGGTCTGATGACACTATCACTCCAAGATCCCTCTCTTGGGTTGCGCTTCTGAGCAAGGAACCACCAATATGGTAAGTTCCAAATGGGTTTGATGAGCCAACGGGGAGAACAGAGCATTTATCACGATTTACTGGCAACTGTCACTTAATCGACCAGTCATGGTGTCGATTGAGCGTAGTTTGTAATCGGTCGGCGTCTTCAAGGCTGGATACTTCCATCCATAGCTTTAGGTCGTCAGCGTAGATTAGGCAATCCGTCTAAAGAGTGGATGGTAAGTCGTTGATGAAAATATTGAAAAGTACGGGACCGAGGACAGAGCCCTGTGGGACCCCGCTCGTCATGAGAACAGGAGCAGAAAATGTGTCATTCACCTTCACTTGCATAGAGCGGTCGTTTAGGAAGTCGGAGATCCAAGACAGGAGGTTCCCAGAAATACCGATTCCTTGGAGCTTAAACAGGAGCCGTTCATGCGGGACTTTGTCAAAAGCTTTTCTGAAGTCAACAAACACAACGTCCAAGCATTTGCCGGAGTCTAGCGACCTTGCCCAGGTCTCCTTAGCAACGAGCAAGTTCGAGGTACAGGAGCGTGCTTTTCTGAACCCATGCTGGGCAGAAGAAATGACATTCTGTCCCCCAAGATGAAGAGTAACGGCTTGTTTTAGGATCCGTTCCATAACTTTACACACTATTGACGTCAAACAAATTGGACGATAATTGGCCGGATCATGTCGGCTTCCTCCTTTGTAAATGGGTTTGACGATACCCACTTTCCAAGCTGAAGGAAGACGGCCAGCTTCTAGTGAGCGACGAAAGACTTGACATATGGGTGAAGCCATGTACTCCGCCACAGTCCTGAGGAAAAAAGGATGCAATCCATCAGGGCCGGGTGAGTTATACGGATCTAACTGAAGAAGAAGTTTCATCACAGGATCAGTGTTAATATCTACTTGGGCCAACGAAGATGGAAATGTGGATACGGCTCCGTAACTAAATGACGTTTCTTTCGCGTAAACAGAAGCGTATTGCTTAGCCAAGTGACTAGCTTTCTCAGCATCATCGTGAAGTAAAGCTTGATGATCACAAGAACACAAAGCAGGGATGCCATTACCAGCTCTAGTGCTTCTTTTCAAGTAAGAGTAGAGCATTTTAGGCGCGATGCTGGAGTGTTTTGCCAAGGATAGCTCGTATCGTTGGCGTTTCTGGCGCTTCATTGAGACACAAACATTTCTGACTGTCTTGTAGTGAGAGAAGTCGAGTTCTGAATGAGATTGCCTATAGCGGCCCCATAATTTACGCCTTCTATTCATGTTTGACCTCAACTCTCGATCCATCCAAGGTGGACCTCTAGCGAAGGGCTTTCGGTGGGAGGAAGGAACGACCTGCTCAGTTAACGACGTCATTTTGGAGAGTACAAGATTCCATGCGTCATCGAGGTGAATGTGTTCAGGGATACCCCAATCCGTAGCGCTTGCGGCCGTTTTCAGGCGGAGTGGGTCGGCACGCCAAAGATTTCGACGGTGACCTCCGTAGCTATGGATCGTGAGACGGCGAGTCCAGTGGAATGACACAACACAATGATCGCTCTTGCCTATGGGTTGAAGAACGGTTAAGTTCGTGACATCTGAATCTGCCGGGGAGAGCACGAGATCCAGGATGTGCGGGGTCTGGTTTGGGAAAATACGAGTAGGCGTCAAGACATGTTGAACGAGGCTGCAATCGAGAGCGGTTTTAAGCAGTGTGGCGTCGAAGGAGTCAGATCGGCGCTCACAAAGAAGTAGGTCCCAACTGATATCCGGTGCATTGAAATCCCCCAAGATTAAACAGTCTTTGTGCCCACCATACATTCTTATCGAGCCCAACAAGCGTGCTCCGGGACCCGATGGCGCTCTGTAGACGACACCGACCAAGAGAGATCTGCATCCGTCATGAACACGGCACCAGAGGGCTTCGAAATTGTCATCCTGGTCACTGATTGATTCAACTAGATGTACTTTGAGATCCGTCTTCCAGTAGAGAATTACTCCACCACCTGATCTCACCCCGTGGCGATCGGACCGGGAGTGGTGATATCCAGGGATAGACACTTCCGAGTCCGTGATATCTGAGAATAGCCAGGTTTCGGTGAAGGCCATCAGGTCTGGACGAGTCTCCGAAGTAAGCAACTGAATTTCGTCAAGTTTATTCCTTAGACTGCGTACGTTGGCGGATAGCACGCGTAGTCCGTTTTTATGCTTTACTGTCTGGGGGTGACAAGAATCGGCCTCCAGCGCACTCTTGTGCTCTTCCGAACTACGCAAAAATCCACGATATGTAGGTCGGTTTCACCACTCGCCCGGCGTGTTCGGAGCTCTTCTACAGCCTTCTTCATTTTAATTCGGTCCTCTGGAGAGAGGTCTCGTAACACGTAGAAAGGTTCACCTTTGAGATGTGGAGTCCGTCGAAGGATGCGCGCGCACTCCTCTTCGTTTCCGCATACAATCTTGAGGGGTCGAACCTTGGAGGAATTTTCCTGCTTCTTACCGAGGCGGAAGGCAGAGACAATGTTTATTCCCTGTTCGCCTGCATCAACAGTAGAGAAATCATCCTCTCGAGCAGTATTTGATCATCCAACATTCGTTTCGCCGAGGTAGCCTTTTCCGTTTCCGTCGCGTTCACGATGATGAGACAGCGGTCACGAGATGGCTGAATGCGCTCTGGAATTGGTGGCTTACGAGATGCTGGATTTTCCTTTATCGCTTTTTCCAGCTCAGAGATTCTGTTCAGAATTATCTTCATTTGTAACTGAGAAGATGGAAGCTCAGGTTTATTCAAAGACTTAGTCTTAGCCTTGGTAACACATGTGGCTGGACCTTGGCCACACGAGGCCAAAGTCGCTTTCTCCTTCACTACGTCCGCATATGACTTCGTCGTAGGCTCAACAGGTCGGATGTGTATCAATGGGTCTGGATGAGAAGTAGACGGGGCGGGGGTGACCGCGACCTTTGGAGCGTCGATGGAAGATGTGTTGCTTCGCTTCCTGGCACGCCTAGCAGAAGGAGCAGAAGAACGTCTTTCAGGATGTTGATGTGGCGGACGTCTTGCCAACGCAGCAGCATCGATGCAATATCGACAAATCCATAGCAAACCCTTGTGCTCAGCATAGGTCTTGAAGAGCGGTTCAGTAAGTTGCGAGCAACGCTTTTGCTCACATGCCCAGAGTTTGCAGGCAATGCACTGAACAGAACAAGACACGCAGGAGGTCGCTATTCGCAGATCGTTCTGTCATGCAAATATGCTGCTAGCCAGGTGAGTAGGGAACCATGGATACCGGAGGCACGAAGCTTATGAAGCAGAGCTACGTGATTGACTCTGTCGATTGCCTTCGAAAAGTCTAGGTAAATCACAGCAATGCGGGATCCTTCATCAAGCGCTTTGGTCCATGAGTCCCGAGCAAGAAGCAGATTTGTGAGGCAAGATCGTTTGCGCCTAAAGCCGTGTTGGAGGTGAGAAATTAGCTTCAGACTCTCAAAATATCGTGTAATTTCATCCACAACTAACGATTCCATTACTTTTGATAAAACAGGGAGGAGAGTAATGGGTCGGTCGTTGGCAGGACCCGATCGCTTACCTCCTTTGTATTTCGGGGTGACTATCCCGATTTTCCACTCAGACGGAAGTGTTTGGGTATTGAGTAGACTTTGGAAAAAGCTTGCGAGGTGTGCTGCTATGGTGGGAGAAAGAGTTTTAAGAACTTTGGGTCTGATCTTGTCGACTCCCGGAGCGCTATTTTCTCTTGGTGACCGTAATTTGCTAGAGACAGCTGCTGAGGTAAAAGTGACAGTTGATATGCCGACCACGTTGGGTGAATGCTGGTTTGGAAGAGGTTCTATGGCGTTTGCAGTCACTGTGCCAAACTGCAGAAGTAATGCGTTCGCAGCATCCACAGCAGTAGTCGTTAGGCCACCATCTGTCTTGAGTGGTGCTATTCCTGTTTTAACTTTCCTTCTGCTGTTCACGTACCTGTACAGCAGCTTTGTATTGTTCGTGAATTTAAGTAACATGTTTTTTTGCCATTCGTACTTATCGGCTCTAATCAGTGATGTGCAATAGTTACTCACTATTTTGTAATTCTCCCAGGTGGTGTCGCAATTGTTCAGCGCGTATTGTCTCAAGAGCTCGTCTCTGGTGCTAATCCATGTACGCGTTCTGCTTCGGATCCAGGTGTTGGTCCGGCGCGGCACTCGTAATGGTATGATTTTTGAGGCTGCTTGCGTGACACAGCTAATTTTGTATTTTAGTTCGTTCCACGCGTCGTCTGCCTTGCTCTGTAGATTGAGATCCCAGTTGACTGTTATCGCTAGGCTGTGAAGCACGGAATATTTGGTTATAGTTTGTCGGTTTTCATGTCTGATTTCAGCAGTATTGGCGTAGCACACATAGGCAAAATTCTACACTGAGTGGTCACTGTTGCCTAACGGTGGATCGTATGAAATTGTCTCAATCATCAACTCTTCGTTGGTTAGGACTAAATCTAGAAGCGATGGCTTATTTGAACCGCGGTGTCTAGTTGGCCGGTGCACGTGGTCGTACAGAGCCGCTGTATCCATAAATTCGAGAATTTTGGTTTGAAGTAAGGACCACTAGAAGTCGCTGAGACAATTGAGGGTACATTAACATCGCCCATGATTAGACAATGTGAGTACTTTTGAGAAACTGCATAATGAAGCGCTTTTAACAGAATGTCACCTCGGTCTGCGGTGGAGTTCGGTGGCCTGTAGACAACCGCCAACAGACAAGCATCCCACGTCTTCTTCGAAGGTTCACCACCTCGGCCATTTAGCTGCATTCGGCAAAACAAATCTTCGGAGACAGCAAGGTGACGTTCGTTAATAGCCTCACATCTCAGACATTTCCGATAGTACAGAGCAACGCCGTCAACGCGAGATAAACGATCATTGCGAATAACTGACATATCACTGATTTCGATTTCCGTGTCGAGCATGTCATTGGAGAGCCAGGTTTCAGTTACAGCTATGATATCCTAATTGTTTGTGTTATGTCGTTGGCGCAATTCAGGTAGCTTAGAGTTGAGCCCCTGAGCGTTTGTGTAGCAGCACTGTATCTGTTGACACATTAGGAGCTCGGTTCCATGTGGTTGACCGGCACAGCTTGTGCCGGTCTGCGTATGTTTTTTGTCACAGGCGTTTGCACATTTGTCTGACCTGATTTGGGAACAACCGAGTCCGGTTCGTCTGTATCTGTGACCCATAATTTGTTTAGGAACGGTCTTAAACCTACTTCAGGTTGCCCACTTTTTCTGTTGTCGTGCCACGCTTGGACGGCCGTTGATACCATCTCAGGTGTAGCCACGGTGACTTTCAAAATTTTTGGCCCGTTAACCTGATGGTTTAAGGAGGCCGCCAGACGGGTGCCATCCAAGGTCACGATATTTTGTATGTTGTAGAGCTCCGTTTTGTACCTCCAGTCTTCTATATCGTGCTTCTGATTTTCATTTATATCGCCATGGTTAAGTTCTGGAACACCATGGACCAGCACTACTTTCTTCGTCGCATCATGTCGGGACGCGACTGGGTCGGATTTCCATTTTCGCCTTTCTATCCATGGTTTATCTGGGAAAATGCGGGCACTGAGAGAGGATTTCGTTAGCTTGTGGCCTGGCAGGAGCACATTCTCAAGGGCGCGTGTGTTACCAAATGTTACTCGTAAGAACCGAGGTTGTCCTAAATGCCGCGAGGATGAATTTCGGGAAATGCGCGTAAGACTAGTTGCAGGAGCGTTAATTTCGAGAGCAGAGCATATCTCTGCCCAGCGGTTTTGTTCTTCCACTTGCCTACCTTTTAGCTCTTCGCTCGTGGGCTCTGGTACATTTGAACACATACTTGTTAGAGCGTTTTTGTTGTACACTAACTGCTTATCCTGAGAGTTGTTACTGGTGGACATTTGTCTAGGTTGACTACTCATCTTGTCCCTTGTGCAGGGGGAGCCTGCGCTGCTACATGGCTTCATACGCGGAACGCCTTTTGTTGTGCTGTTTGTGGGGGGTCAAATGTTGTTGTCCAACCCGTGACAGGGTTGAGCGTGCAGTTTGTGCATAGTTGTTTAAGTCTTGAGACATTTTACAAAACTTGGGAGGTTGTTCGACAGGCCTGTCTTCGCTGGCGTCCATCAACAATGGTGTGCTATTTTTACCGTACTGGGTGGCTTCTTTACTAAATGGCTCTCGTCTTTTGACAGGTCTGGGATTCGGGCTACTTAATACACTAATCTGCGACGCAAGTCCAGTGGTTTTTTTACCAAGCTAGCGGTCAATTCCTTTTGTTCTGTGACCGTTAGGGCTAAACTTTCACATTTCGCCATAAGCTCTTGAATGACCCTAGCCAACGGTTTGATTGAACATGCGTCACACGCAGACACAAGCCGTCGATCGACCTACAGTGTGTTGTAGCCCCATCGAAGGAATTGGAACAAAGCGAGCATTTGGTGACCGACATGTCTGGACCACTATTGACCTTGGATTTGTTATTCATTGGCGTAGCTGAGACACTGCGTCGGCCCATCATGTGCACGATATGTGCACGATATGAACGAAGAGGGACGCCAAACAAAAGTGAAGACGTTAGTGTGAGCTGCGATGCATGATAGTGGAGCCGACAGCCAACCTCAATCAGAGACCGGAAATTTGGATTTAGGTAGGCGTTACCAAGCATAGAGATAATGATTCAGACAAAGAAGAGTATCATAAGGTTATAACTTATACCATGGAGAAATTCAGTCGATGGCAGCCGATGCTCAAAATAAGAGAGGCCTTGGTTTAAGACTAAGACTGAGAGGACTGACTTGTACAAAATGTTTTGCAATGAGAGACATAGAAGGAAAGATAACCAAAAGAGTCCTGGGATGTTGCCCTGACACTAGTGTTACCTATACCGCCATTGAAATTTTGCGATATAGACCAAAAGAGAGGAGAAACAAGTTTTCGATGACGTATACCTATATATAGTCTACCGCTTATTGATTAATTTATTTACTTTAAAGAAGCTCATTTGCCCTGCTACAATAGAGTACCTAGTCATGCCGTTTCCAAGGGTACAATGTATCACAGTCAATCAAGTGATGCAAGGATTTTCGTAAT